TTAAGTGACAAAAAAAGATGACTGATCATTTACGTATGTCAGATGACATCGTTCCAGCACAATCATGGAATGTTGTCAATAAGTTCGTCTCTTCTTGGATTGTTGCTAGGTTGCTTCAATGGTCTGTTATTGCTACATTCTGTCATTCTCATCGCTTATTATGGCAAGTGGGCTAGGCGGTGTCAGTTACCTGTACCCGATAGTAAAAAAAATACACACACGACTAAGTCAGGAATAATTAGTCCAAAATGAATGTATCCTTGGTTTGTTATTACTTCTTCTGGGTTAACAAAGTCGTGTCGGCCTACCATATCAACGACCGGCCGAGTTCCAAATAATATGGTTAAAAGTGTTCATTTTCTTCATAAACCTACATATTTATTACATCTGATTCACACACAACAGTGAGCAAAAATGTCAAGGTGTTATGGAAAACGGGTCGCGGACGCAAATTATTTTGTTTGTAACAAGGCTTAAGTGCTTGTGAAACAGCTCTTACTGTAATTAACACTACTTAGTTTACAGTAAAGTTATCATTTACGTGTATCTCATGTGTTTATACGACATGGATCCACATTGCTGACAGTTAAATCGGTAGCTATCAAAATAAGTTAACAGCGTTTTAAACGATGCGATCATAGGAACATTACTTAGTATGGGCTGAGTTTGAACATTTACCTACTTTAACGTTAACACTCTTGTGTGTATGGAAAAGACAGTTCTTTTAAAAATGTTAGTAGTTCTAATACTTTTTTTTTATTCTTTCCGTTGGGTGAGTGTCTGGCTTCCGTTTTTACCCTTGGGGTACGGAACCTTAAAAATTAAGAAGAACTGAACAAATTAGAATATATCCTTAGTTTTTGCACATTTGAGACGTTGAAAATACATCGTAACTCTAAGAAAATAATCTCGGTTCACATAAAAATATGAATCTTACCCTACATCTCGATCGATAGAACAGCGAGGATATTACTTGTACTTTTTCCTCATAGGTTTTTTATTGTGTGACAGAGATTACATTGCAGATGAAATTTGCGGAGCTAACAACGTAACGTATATTATGAAATCACGAACGCTGTCATGTCTAGTTTAATAATGTGTTGTGTTGTTGTGTGTTATGTTGTATGCGACGCGAACATGAGCTATTTGTCCGTGCCGTAACCGTGGCATACAGTACAGTACCACGAAATAGAGAGTACAGAAGGTAATCTCTTGTATTTTTTTTTACAACACACCGATTAGCCTAACCCCAAAGTAAACACTATAAGGCTTGTGTTGTGCATGTTTGTGTTATAGGATAGAATACATAGGTATATTGTACACTCGTCCGTATATAGTTGTTTGATTTATTGCTGAGAATGAAACAGGAAGAAAGTTAAATATAAACTAATAATAACCAAAGTATTAAATTTTAATGTTATTGTTGTTGGCACAAATTAAAAACGAAAACGACAATTCACCGTTGAATTTAAACAATTGGCCAACTGAAAAGTTAAAATAACAATTTATTGTTATTCCATATTTGCACATAAAAGTTCTCGGACACGTGTCTCAAGCGCATGGAACTCGCGCTCGCACTGGGGGTCACTTGCTTAATTTGCTATGGCTATCGCTATCGCTTACGATTACATATTGTTATTTCTGACCGCCGAAGCTTTTCAAATGCCTCGCGCTCTTTTTTTTCTTTTGCATTGGTAATAACAATATTATAGAAAATGAGCGTGAGGTATTCCAAAACCTTAGACGCTCATAAATAACAAAATGAAAACGTAAGCGTTAGCTATAGCCATAGCAATCGCGTTAGGCAATTGGCCCCCAGGGTCCCAAGTGGTCCGACATATCGTGTCTGTAAGCGGTGTCTATGTGTGCGTTTCTCGAGCACACTTTGTATGCCGATTACCTTCTGTACTGTTAGTTTTGTGCTAGAGTACTGCTCGGTGCCGATGCCCACGTAATGGTGTATACCGATAAACATGCCCGCTCCTCCCCCCATTATATTCAGATGTGACACGATAGCGGCCGGTTTATTTCTTTTATCGGCGTGCCAAACGCCTGCTTGCACCCAAGTGAGACGTTCTGTTGAATGCATCTAAGCTTTTTTCACCGTCTTTTATTTTATTTTCATGTTATTCCGTTTTCGTATCGCGATTCCTTTGATAGCGGTTTATCTCTAAGAATCAAAATTAACGTTTCTCTTCATATTTCTACTAAGATACGAGTCGTTTACTAGTCGTCGATACTATAGAGAAGGAAAATTGTGGGCTCGATGTAACCATCCTACTAATATTATAATTCTGATATTTAATTATTGGTTTGTTGACAATTTTAAATGTATAACTATAAATATAACTTGTTTCACTTATTCACTGGATCACTTGGTTGTCAGACCTAGTTCCGGGGTGACGTTATTCCATACGTCCCCGGGGACCGGGAGTTTGTATGTCAATTACTCAATCACGCAAAAACTACTAAGCGGATTTGGATTAAATTTGGTACTCATATATAGTTTATGACCTGGATTGAAACAAAGGAGGAAATAAGAAGTATTCTTATCCCGAAAAAAATTGAGGTTCCTGAGACATTCTCAAAAAAACTGAAGTTACGCTACGTTAAAAGAAGTTTCACTACAGGTGTCTGGTCCGTGTACACAATTCTTTGTGTTTGGCTTTTAATTAATGCCGATAAATTACAAAGGTACATCGGCGCACATTCCGTATAAATAGTCCGGGAATGTTTGAAACGTGACTGTCGCGGATGCGGCTTATGATGTTGTCATTTGTTTCGGTTTAATTAACTTCAATACAACAACAATGGGTCGCTCGTTGACCGTTTCTATTGTTATTGACCAGAAGGTTTATTTGGCAATTGTAGTTGGACAAAGCTAATAAAACGCGAAATAAACAGTAGTAAGTAGGGCGCCATTCGAAGTTTAACTAATTTATTTTTATTATTCTACAATTTAGGTCGTGACAGTGGATACAAATGTATTGTAAATCCGCTTCCACTGTTTTGTGATTAAGACCCGCTTCAAGTTGCATCCATTAATGTGGTGTCGATTGTACTTTGCTATTCAAGTACAGAGGTCCAAGCGTAAGAACGTAAGGAGAAACTAGATTTTTCCATACAAAATTTGACGATGACGAGACAATCGCGGAGCTGTCAAAAATCGTGCTGGGGTCTCAGTATCCCAAACATTAATATATCCCGCAATCGTATCGCGTCGTCTAAGTTTTTATGGAAAACTAAGCAGCGCCTCTACCGGTCCTAAGAACAAACTATTCATTATTCATACGAACATCTTTTTCCGTAGAAACTTTGACATGGCGATATGAATACTTTCTCACTAGTTGTTTGTGGTTGGAGTAGAGCAGATGGTTGTTCTCGCGCAAGCCGCGCAACCGACACCATATGCCGCCATACGTGGCCTTAGTTCATCGTAATAACTCAGTTCACTACATTTATGGAGTTTGATATGCAAAATGTTACTTAATATTCTACTTTCTACATTGATCTATCAGTGTTGTGTAGCTGTTTAAAAGATTAATTTTATTTAATGTTTAATTTTATGTTAAAAATTTGCTACATTTTGGCAGCGAATGCCTTTTTATACAATGATTTTTGTGTTGTTATTTTTGCCAATTCCATTTTTAGGGTTCCCGTATTTACCCTTTGGGTACGAAACCCTACTCATCGACCTAAAAAACACATCGAATTTTGAGTTACCTGAGTAACTTAAAAATGTGTTAGAAATATTAATAGAAGTTATCATGAAAATAGAAATAGTGAGAACAGTTATAAACACTAAATGTACTACACCCCCATACAAAAATATTGATTTATATCATTTACAAAATATCCTAAACGATGATTTTTACTCTCCTAAAATTCTAAAAGTAGTTTTATTTAGATCGATTTATGACAGGTTTCATAAACGCTTAATAAAATGTGGACACTATTCAAAAAAAAGTTTTTTTTGCGGAAATATAGATTTTCCGAAGTAGCTAATAAAGTTTCTCAGGTAATTCAAAATTCACGGTGCATAGAAAAGACCTGTGAGTAATCATATTATCAACTCAACCACCATCAACTGGATTAAACCAAGTTCAATAGTGCCTTCTATGTAGTTCATTCCGACGCAATTCCACGTGTTATCGTCTACGGGAAATGATAAATAATGATATGTGATAAATGATAAAAGCGAATAACGTTTCGAACGTTATTCGCTCCTAGATAAAAATGAGTGTATTGCGGTATAGCACAATTACAGGGCTCGTTGGACCCACTCACTGCATGTATCTGAATCTGGCCATGCCTCGCTAGTCAACTTCCGCCGACACACCTTTTCCGATCCCTTTTTTGCTGTCACACTCCACCATTCTTTGTTTATTTATTATCATCAAAGGTATGCACCCACATACATGCAGATAGATGACTGAGTAACTCCATAAAATTATAAAACAATAGTGATCTAAAAATGCGGTTTCTGTAAGTGTCGCCATGCTTATTGTTACCCTGCAGCACTAAACCACATGTTAATGTACTGTACCATTAACGGCTCAAGTAGATACTGAAGTTTATCACTTTGCATAATAGAGGTTTGCACTGCAACTCGATAGTTTTAAAAGTGTCTTATAAAACTACTGCCTATAAAACTATAAAAGGACTGCCTTGGTCTCTTTAATTATAAGACACTTTTAAAACTACTGAGGAGTGACGATATTCCTACTGAGGAGTATCGTCTTTATTGCAATTGCTGTGACTGACCTACAAGGAATGAAGACATAGTCTATATTCCATTTCTTAATTGTACCTAAAAGGAAAGAAGACATAACTCTGCGAGTACGATTCCCCATTTATTTACCTATGTACATGTTGTATTCGGTGCTTTCATTTAGCTTCGACTGTAGTTCCTTAAACAACGGCCGATTATCGATGCGCGTATTGTTTTGCAACGTTTAGCATGTACGCCGCGTCCGTGCGTCGCTTCGGGCATACAATGGATGTATTTGAAGCACGTGCTGGCTGCGGCAGCATTGATCGACGATCGACGCTCGACGCTCGCCGCCTGTCGCCAGGTGATTCCGACTCGCGCAGCGATTAGCCCGCGCGGGCGCATTCGCGATCCTTATCAATTTGTCCCAAGTGCGGCTCTGCGCCCGACCTCGCGGCATTGTCTTGTCCTTCCAAATGTCATTCGCCCGTCAGTTACACTTTGTCTTGCAAACTATACCTCTTTGTCCGTTGATAGGTTGAAATCCAGGCCGATTAAATCTAGATAATTGCATCGTCAAGGTCCGCCACGACGTCGACATTTAGACGGAGGCTCTCATCCTCCGCCCGTGCCTTTTGATCAGCGTAATGAGACTTGTGCGCGTTCCCATAAATTCGAAATAATGTTATGGAGCGTGAGAGAGTACAGTCGTGCCACGTTAGTTTACGTAATAGGTAGATACGTGGAAGTGTCTCGATTGCACTTCGAGGTCCGATGGCCTGAAAACAGCCAATTTCCTCTGTAAAAATGGTACATGTCTGACTATGCCCTTTACAGATCTTATTATGTATGACTTTACTCAGTACGCGTAAACAGTTTATTCATACTATGATCGACAATGACCCCAATGTACTTCACACGACTCGCTTCAGGGTTCCCATATCGCTTATCGCAGTTTATTTTCTAACCCATAACAGACTAGAGGTGAAAAGATGTCATTGTACGCTGAGATACGATACTTGATGCGTTACTATGTATCTACGCGGATACCAAGCAGATGTGATTAGAAAAAAGAGCTATTGTGTCGCGTGCCTGACGCATGTGGAGCGTAATACGAGTCTCATATTTTAATTGGAGCACTTTTTATCTGACACGCGACGTGTCCCGGCCGATTGTAACAAAGCGTTCGCGTCAGCTAATTGCGCATCCACTGCTTCACTTGACATGGGACTGGAGTTAAATGGAAACAATCGTCTAAGTAGAAACTGTAGTCGTTGTAATGGCATGTGTTACTGAAGAGAAAATTTCTTTTTCAGGTATCTTTACGGTGATGTGCTACAATGTACTCTGTGATAAGTACGCGACGAGACAGATGTACGGCTACTGCCCTAGTTGGGCGTTAGAATGGGACTACCGAAAGAAGGGTATTTTGGACGAAATCAGACATTACTCTGCAGACATCATTAGTTTACAGGCTAGTATTTTCTTTGCAAATTAATTGGAGTTTCATACCAAAAGCTACAGATTAAATACAGAAAATTATCTATATAAACTCGAATAATAAAGCTCATATATATAGTATTATAAGTAATTATGTTTTGATAACTGAAACGCACACAAGAAAACTGGCACATAATGTCGCTCAGACGATGACAAACGAGCGATGTGAATTTAAATGTAACTGTGACACATTCATACTTAAGTTTTCCTCATTTACAGGAAGTGGAAACAGATCAGTTTTACAATTTCTTTTTACCAGAACTTAAACAAGATGGTTATGACGGTATTTTCTCACCAAAATCTCGGGCAAAGACCATGGGTGAATCTGAGAGGAAATACGTCGATGGTTGCGCCATCTTCTTCAGATCTGCCAAGTACGGTCTCCTTCTATTTATCCTGGTGCTTGAAATGTAAGAAATTATATCTCATCTAAAAATGTTTGGTTTCTTTGTAGGTTTGCGTTGGTTAAAGAGCACCTTATAGAGTTCAATCAATTGGCAATGGCCAACAGTGAAGGATCGGACAACATGTTGAATCGTGTAATGCCGAAAGATAACATTGGGTTAGCCGCCTTAATAAAAACCAAGGAGGCGGCCTGGGAGAACGGTAAGGATGGTTCTAGTAAGTAATGCCTTCAATTTCATCTTCAAACTTGTGAATACAAAAAGAATAGCTGGTATACTAATATTGCTGAATCGTTACCTCGTAGTGATGCCACTAAAGAAAGACACAGTAGATAACCTAAAAGCAATGGACCATACGCTTTAAGAAATGCATCTCAACTGGAATCAAAAGTGTATTGTTGTTTTTAGGTATACCGACGGATTCGGCGATATTAGGGCAGCCGATACTGGTGTGCACGGCACACATACATTGGGATCCGGAGTTCTGTGACGTGAAGCTGATTCAGACGATGATGTTGAGCAACGAGCTGAGGTCCATATTGGACGACTCGGCGCGGACGCTTCGACTTGCCGGCCAACGCGACAACGTACAATTGCTGCTGTGCGGAGATTTCAATTCCTTACCGGACAGTGGTATGTTTTTTTTTTACTTGTATCTCTTAGGTAGCCTCTTTTATCTTATCGACTGTGAACAAAACGTGAGTGTAAGTAATAACTTATTTCGTTTTCTGTTTATGGTTCCTTAACCTAAAAGTAAAAAACGGAAATGGAACCCAATTACTTTGTTGTTCGACTGTCTTTAGTTCGAGAGCACGTAAAGGTATCTCGTTGAAATTAAAACTATATAGAAGAGATACGCCGAAATTCGTTCCACATTCGGTATTACCTAAGTTCGGCAGCTTTAACCGCTTCTGCTTCGGCCGAATTTTAGTTAGATTTCCTGAATGTCAGCCTCGAAATTCGGTAGCTTAAATTAATATAAAAAAGACATAGAAAAGCAATTTCTTTTAAAATTGAATCCTGATCTAATAATGATTTGTAAGCAAATACGTACAACGTGAATGATCGGTAGTGTTTGTTTTTATTGCCCTAGACAAAAATATGCTTTATAAAAATTATGGATTGTCATAATCAACATGGTAACATAACATTATTTCCTCTTTGTAATTTATTTTAGCATTTTTTTTATTGTAATTGTTAAAAACAATATTAAAACATTTTGTTGATTGAACAGAAGTACGTGACGTCTGTCTGTTAAGACCCTTTATCTCGGGTACTCAAGGAGGTATCAAATTGAAATTTTACCCATATACTCAGGTTTACAGTCCTTTGAAGCTGTGAATAAATCAAAAGAGACAATTCAAATTTGTATGGGTGGTAGTGAGTCTCCGGCAGACTCCAAATTTTTAGGACATGACATGTTTGTGTAAGTGCACTTAATTGTAAATCGTTTGACAAAAAAACTAGAATTTATTTTATCCCCATTTTGTTTAATAATTATAATTTTATAAAAGTTATATAATTTATTGATTGGCAAATGGCAAGTTTATTTATATATTTTTGTTGTCAAAGCATAAAATGTATTCTATTCAAAAGGTTACAAAGCAGTGATAACTATTCTGTTCATCTTTCATTACATTATTAGGTTTTTGTGAGTATTTTATTTCAAGAAGAAGCAATCATATATTGGTATAATATGTTCACCACGATTTGACGAATATCGTGCATGACTGGACTAATTGACATGTGCCATAGTGATTGAGTTCACGTTATAAGCTGCCACAAACTAAAAATATGACTTTAATTATGACAGGGTGGTTTAAAAATAATCGGAAGTTAAAAAATTAAAAGTATCTGTTCATGTTAGAATTTAAAATAAGCTTTCATATGATATATGTTTCATCGCTGCCGGAAACCGACTACCACTTTTGGACCATCTCCTTTCTAAGTTAAAATAATAAAAAGATACGACCGTTTATATTGCGGACCTACAAATTTGTACGGAACCCTCGGTGAGCTAGTCCGACTTGCACTTGGCCGGTTTTTTTTGAATGTTATTTAAAACGATCACAAGTTGCTTTCAGAGTTCGCTCCCACGGAATTGATAAAAAAAAATCTTATAAATCGTTTGTTATTAGAACAATTGTCGCTGCTTTGCTTCCACTTCCGCGCTAGCTCACAGTGAAAAGGTGACCTTCTTTTGTCTTTAACATGGCCCTGTTGTTTCCTGAAAATTAAGCGGTACCAGATTTCTTTGATGGTTTTTCCACGCCCACAAGGCCCTGCTAACCTTATTTATCTCTTTCGTGGTAAATTGGCTGTGAATGAAAAAACTCCGATTTTTGACAAACTTAAATAATAGCTGTACTTCTCATATTGTAGTTTCGGAGCCTTTTCAATACAAACAAAGAATCAATTATTTCCTCTTTATAATATTAGTATAGAAAAACGGAAATATTGTGACTCCTATGATATCTCATAGTTGCCATTTTCGTTCAAACACAATCGCTAACAAAACACACGCATTACTATTAATATAGGTTTAGTAAGCGTTTCCAATTTTTATGTACGAGTATAATACAGTTAGTGTTTTTAAAATTCTAGAAGCAGTCATAACCATAATTCATTTTATAAGGAAAAATGTAACATAGTATAAAGCCACAGACGAAGGGGTGCTTACATAATCATTGGCCTTGACAAAATCCACACTAGTAATAGCAAATAGCAGAACTAATAAAGTGGAAAACATTGTTAATAATTTTAATATTACAACGCAATTTAATATTCAAACATAATCATCGTGATTGAAACCATAAATTGAGTCATAATTATAGAATCAAGTTATTGTACAAACATACTTTTAAAAATATTGTAAGTTGTATTTAATTTGGGTAATTCTTCAGGACTTTTCATTAAAAACCCTGAGAGCCTTGCCTTAATCCTACCTTATGTTTAATATAGTCCAGTTGCAAAGAGGGCGGGCACCTTCACTTCAATAACAGCAATTTGATTCTTTACGCTTCTCTCAAAAGACTAAAGTCTTTTGCTTCCTGAAAGAAATCACAATAAGATAAATAAAAAGTAGGATTATAAAATGAGTTTTTTTATAGCCCCATCTCAAATATTCTATGCAATACCTAGTTAATGCATAGAATGCGCAAAACAAGGCAATGTCAGTCGCCCGGCGCTTGCGCTGACGTCCGGTCGTGTGTGCGTGAGTCGTTGCTATAAACAATGGCTTCTAATGTCGTGAAATGTACAAGTTGCAATTTGGTGATAAATGAAGTTTTAGCTTTCATTTGTAATAAAATAGATGTGATGGACGAACCGGGTATCACCCAAATATGTGTTAGTGCTTTTTCGGAGAGTGAAATATTGGATGCCAAAAACTTGCTATTTGAATCCATAACGACCTCGAAGCGCAAAAAGATAAGAAAACGTCTTGGAAAAACGCAGCGAGATATTGATGACATTGTCTGCTTATTGAAGGAGACGGACCCTGAAGAAATTCCGGTGTTTGTGGCGCGAGATCTGCAGAAGTTACCTCCCGTGCTATTTGACCACGTCGATGTAACCCGAATTTTGAAAGATATTGTTAGAATGAGGAGTGATCTGGACCGTTTTTCTAAAGAGTGTGCAACATTGGATCAGTTAAAAGAACTTCGGTCTGACATCGAATCGCTTAAGACCGCATCGATTGTGAACAATTTTTCAAGAAATGTAAATATGACGAGAGGTGCTACATGTTTGCCTAGTTTTGAGTGTGAAAGCGGGCCGATGGGCTTGTCACCACTTTGTACTGAAAACAAAATAATCAATAAACATTCCACTGCGAGCCCTATAAAATCTCGTATCACTTTTTCTGAGGAGGGTAAAACGAAAATACCAACAGCCGTGCATTTTGTGTCTAACGGGTCACCGGCTGTGACTGCGAGCGAATCGACGATAGCCGACCGCTTGTCAGCTGACGGCCGAGCTATGCCGAGTGAGCTGGGTCACGTCGCGGTCGCCGCCGCCGCACTCCCGACGACGTGCGCCGCCGACATGACTAATATTACTGAGGATGCGGGAACTATTGTAATTCGGGCGCATGAAAACAAACAGAATAGCGATGAGAGTGTGAAGAAATTATTTTCGAATGTAGTTACGGGGGGTCAGTTTAAGACGCAAGTTCCAAACGAAGATTGGATTCTTGTGCAAAGACGGAGACTACGAAATCGTTTTGTAGGAAAGTCTGGAAAAGCTATTGTTGATAATAATTTTAATTTCAAAGCAGCCGAGAATAATATACCCATTTATTTGTATAATGTATCAAAAGAAACTACAGAGTGTGACATTAAAAATTACATTAAAAATCAATGTAATTTAGAAACTCAAGTGGAAAAGGTGAACATGAAATTATCAAGAAATTACAATGCTTTCAAAGTATTTGTTCCGGGACGTGACCTTGAAATGTTTCTCAAAGATGATTTTTGGCCCAATGGCGTTTTATATCGCCGTTTTGTGGATTTTAGTAGAAACACTACGAGATCATATCGTGACATTGAACCTATAAATAAAATTAATGGATAGTAGTAATACAAAATTAATAAGTTTTAACTGCAAAAACGTCACAAGGTCAATCGAATGTGTGAGAAGACTCTGTCTTTCGGCAGACATAATTGCATTGCAAGAAACCTGGCTTTTACCTCAGGATGTGTCGTTCCTGGGAAGCATTGACCCGGCATTTTCCTTTACGGGCAAGTCAGCTGTTGACACTAGTGCTGGAGTGCTACGGGGGAGGCCTTACGGAGGCGTTGCCTTGCTATGGAGATCTGCGAAGTTCTCGGCGGTGACGGTGATACCTTGTCGTAGTGATCGTCTCGTCGCGGTCAAAATAGTGCTCAGCGATCGGTCCTTCATTGTGGCGTCAGTGTACATGCCTACTGATAAAAACGAAAACCTAACGGAATTCACCGAGTGTCTGAGTGAGTTGAATGCTATTATCGAAAGTGCTAGTGTTGAATCTGTAGTAATCCTTGGAGATTTCAACGCACATCCAGGTGAGCTGTTTTGTAATGAACTATGTGCATTTTGTGCCGATCAATTGTGGTCTTGTGTGGACTTGGAACTATTACCTTTAACTACTTATACATTTGTGAGTGAGGCACACGGGTGTCGTCGCTGGCTTGATCATTGTGTAGTGACGAGTGCCGCACGTCCCTTAATATTAAATGTGTCAGTATTATACGATACCTACTGGTCTGACCACTATCCGCTATTAGTTGAATGTAATTTAAATATTATCCTACCCAAGATTGTAAAATCTAATTCTAACAATTCTTCTCAAAGTGGTGTGACATGGGGGATAAGGGACTCGAATCAGGTATCGAATTATCATAGTTTGTGTAATTCTGATCTCAAAAATATTGACTTTCCTATAGAACTTAGTAGTTGTGCTGACAAAATATGTAAAAACAAAGATCATACTATATTGTTAAATAATTTGTATAATGACATTGTAAATATATTATCTAAAGCAGCGAAAAATAGCTGCCAGTCACGTAGAAAGAAAAAACATAAATATGTCACTGGGTGGAATAAACATGTTAAGGCCGCTCACAGGCGGGCTCGACTTTGTTTTCAAAAGTGGGTAGCTTGCGGTAGGCCTATTTCTGGTAATATATTTCAAAATATGACTGATTCTAGAAAAATGTTTAAAAATAAGTTAAAATATTGTCAAAATAATGCTACACAAATTAAAATGGATATAATTGCGGAAAATCACGCTAATAAAGATTTCACCAGTTTTTGGAAAAACACAAATAAGTTAAACCCGAGGTCGAGTCTCCCTGTGAATGTGGGTGGTTCATGTGAGCCCCGCCATATTGCTTGCGTTTTCCAACAGTCCTTTAGGGTGGTCTCACCGCTCGGGGGCGTGTCTCAGATGCTCGACGACGAGGTTTTTTCAGGGGATTTAACGGTTAGATTCTCAAGTAAAGATGTTGTTAATGTCATTGCAAAAATGGAGAGAGGTAAATCGCCTGGATACGATGGCCTGAGTATTGAGCACTTGAGACATGCAGGTGTACACTTACCAAGAGTACTTTCTATGCTTTTTAATTTGTGTATAAGTCATAGCTACTTACCTGAAAATTTAATGCGCACAGTGGTTGTGCCTATTGTGAAAAATAAGTCCGGTGATCACGCGAATGTTTCCAATTACAGGCCTATCTCGTTGGCAACAATAGTGGCTAAGGTACTGGACAGTCTGCTTGATCAACAACTAGCAAAGCACGTTAACTTGCATGATGCTCAGTTTGGCTTTAGGCCCGACCTGTCTACAGAGAGTGCTATTTTCTGTCTTAAGCAGACTGTTCAGTATTACACTGCTCGTAAAACACCTGTGTATGCCTGTTACCTGGATTTATCAAAAGCTTTCGATCTTGTAAATTATGACAAATTATGGCAGAAGCTCCGAAATGAAACAAGCGTGCCACATGAGGTAACTTCACTGTTTAAGTATTGGTACAGTAATCAGCAGAATACTGTAAGGTGGGGAAGCGCAATGTCGGATGTGTATTTGTTGGAGTGCGGTGTGCGGCAGGGAGGGCTGAGCTCGCCCCGCCTTTTCAACCTTTATATAAACCGGCTGATCGGTGAGCTCAGTGGTACCAATGTTGGTTGTTCGGTAGACGGGATTAGTATTAACAATGTAAGTTATGCCGATGACACGGTGCTACTGTCTCCATCGATTGCGGCCCTAAGAAAACTCCTGCGTATCTGTGAGGAATATGCAGATACCCATGGGCTCAGATACAATGTTAATAAGAGCGAACTGATGATTTTCAAGGCTGGTGCCAAAACCTACTCATCTGTACCTCAAGTGACGCTCTATGGTTCACCACTGAATTTGGTGAAGCAGTTTAAGTATCTGGGCCACTGGGTGACTGATGACCTATGCGACAATGTTGATGTTGAGAGGGAGCGCAGGGCGCTGTCAGTTCGGTGTAACATGTTGGCCCGCAGGTTTGCACGCTGTACTGTACCAGTGAAGGTGACACTGTTTAAAGCTTACTGTCAATCATTTTACACGTGCAGCCTGTGGTTGAACTTCACGCAGCGGGCGTGCGGCGCACTGCGCGTCCAATACAATAATGCATTCAGGATTCTGTTAGGTTTGCCCCGATTTTGTAGTGCATCTACCATGTTCGCTGAGGCGCATGCAGACGATTTCTATGCCATTGTCCGAAAAAGAAGTGCATCCTTATTAAGCCGTCTGAGAGGGTGTGGTAACGGCATCCTGAATGTGTTGGTCGAGCGGTGGGATTCCCCTTTATTGAGGAGGTGGATGCATTTGCACGTCAGTGCATCCCCTCTTTCTTTTATATAGTGTGACATTTTATAATTTTTATTTTTAATTTTTATTTTTATTTATTATTATTATTGTTGTTTTTATTTATTATTATTTATTTTTGTTCTAATTTAATTTAATTTAATTTAATTTTAATATGACATGTAAAATATGGATGTAAAATGGTCCGAAATAAATAAATGAATATGAATATGAATATAATGTACCGAATATTATTCATTTTATACTTTGCCACACACACATTGCCGACTGCCGAATGCGCAGTCGGCAATGTGTGTAAAAGAAGATAGCGAGTCGACTTTTCCTCTTTTTTTTCTATTATCTATCAGGTGGCTGGTACACCTGAATTATAACGATTGCCGGTAACATATATATCTCAAATATGATATGTATTATGTATATTTACAGGTGTCGTAGAGTTCCTATCGTCAGGCCGTGTATCATCTGAACACAGGGACTTCAAAGAGCTGGGTTACGCTGGGTCTTTACGACGCATGCCTGGCTCAGAACACGAGTTCACGCACAATTTCAAGCTCGCCTCTGCTTACAGCGAGGATATCATGCCTTACACCAACTACACGTAAGTTTTAACCATATTATGATAATAGGTGAGATGGATTCTACCGTCGGGTTTTTTTGTCAACATATTTTGGTGTCCTCAAGGTTACTTGATTTTTCTAAAGCTCATGTCGGGCTCAAGATCAGAGTTCACGCACAATTTCAAGCTCGTCTCCGCGCACAGCGAAGATATTATGCCTTACACCAACTACACGTAAGTTTAGCGATAGTATTTTGACAGGTTTGGTAGTTTCTATCGTCAAGTTATATATCAACCGATCAACGAGACTTCAAAGGAACTAGGTTATGTGATATTCCAAAGCGCATATTTGGTTCAGTTCACACACAGTTTCACATCCGCTCAAAGCTAAGTGATTATGCTCTATACAGAAATAAATCAATATATCTTTATTCAAATTGGATGTAAAGTACAACACTTTTCAATCGTCCAAACATTTTTTTTCCCTACCACTCGTTATTGTACATATTTTTTAGCTGCGGAGAAAAACGAGCGAAAAAAACTCCACAACATTAAAAGCGTAATGTAACAACATTTACAAATCATTATGTTGTTACAACGTCAATACAATCATGATTTATTTAATATAAAAGATCCTGTTGGAATGATTGGAACAGTTCAAACCCAAGCATTTTTGTCTGTAATATAATCAGACACTTTGTAATAAGCTTTTTTAATAAGTGCTTTTTTTATACTATCTTTGAATTTATTTATCTTGGATATTGCTTGGGACTTTATTGTATAAGCGAACACAAAGACCTTTAAATGAATTATTGATTTTGTGAAGCCTAGTAGCAGGTAAAGTTAGTTTATTTTTGTTTCTTGTATTAAGTGTGTGAACATCACTGTTTTTAAGAAACAAATTAATATTTTTTCTTACAAGTAATAAATTTTCGTAAATGTATTGTGATGCGACCGTCATTATACGAAATTCTTTAAACCTATCTCTTAAGGAATCCTTAACTTTAAGATTATAAATTGATCGAATAGCTCTCTTCTGCAGCACAAAAATAGTTTGAATGTCGGCGGCGTTTCCCCACAATAAAAATCCGTACGATATTACACTATGGAAATAACTAAAGTATACTAATCTGGCCGTATCTACATCCGCTAACTGGCGTATCTTCATTACGGCATATGCTGCAGAGCTAAGTCTATTTGACAATTTATCAATATGTGGGCCCCATTGAAGCTTAGAATCTAAAGTAGTCCCTAAGAATACTGTGGTGTCTACAAGGCCCATATTCCTATCCTTTACATTCACACTGGTTTTTACCTGTTTTACATTACCAAATACACGTGAATTTTAAGATACTATGTGATCACAGGTTGCAAAGTTTTGTATCGTTAGGATATGTGTTAGTAGATCACCAAGAGTTCAAAGATTAAGTGGAGTCTGAAAGTGCATGTTCGACTTAAAGCGCGAGTTACGCACAATTTCAAGCTCGCCTCCGCATACAGCGAGAATACGTGAGTTTTACGATAACATGGTCACAGGTGTAATAGTTTCTATCATCGGGTTCTGTATTAACAACGAGACTTGAGACTTCTCTTTGCTATCACTGACGAGTGACTTCTCGATCACACACGAGTTCAGGGCTTATCGCGTCAATGAAATTACTATATTTTAGCAATTTTTGCTTGAGTTTGATACAAGAAATTGTCGATGATTATGGATTAAGTTTAAACGAGCGTAATTTTGGAGTTGCGATAGTAGCTAAAAATGAGCCGCAGTATTTACTTACCTCAAACTCATTTTGCATTATATCACAAAGAGATTTTTTTAACCGAATGCAGCTTATTTACTCCCTAAATATGTTTTTGGTATAAGGAAAGACCATCATTATACTTCTCTCTACTCTCTCTACCTCTGGGGTTCCTTACTTCAGAGTACTCACACCAATATCTAAACAAAAAAAATGCTTCCAAATTGGTTGATTCGTTTCGAACTTATAAAACCCTTTTGCGTCGCTGGTAAAAAGATCAGTAAATTAAGAAACTAACTTTGTCTTAATAGGCTTGTGTCAACTAACAATAAATCGAATGGGTTACAGTTTCTAAATATGAATTATGATATACAGAACAAAAAATAAAGCTATTTATCATAATAATTAAAGATTATTATTATTTTTAGAAAATAAATTCGAATAAAATAGGCATTAGATCACGTGACGGCAAACATCAGAAAGACTGACGTCACCACGTGCAAAACATTACTTGAGGTTGCCGTTTCCATACATTTCATTGATATCTCATTCATGTTATTGTTACTTTGATACAATTATCAGTTTGTTTTCAGATAAGTATTGAAAGGAAGCTAATAAATCCATGGAATTGGGATTTACCGAAGCAAATTATAATATTTTAACCAAAATTAAAAATTAATCGCAATCGAGAATAAGAAGTGTTAATGTAATTAAATCAGCTTACCTAACCTCAACCTATTGTCATTGTTTTATCAATATAATGCAATATAATTTATCCGGCTTGTATAACATTTTGATTTCATTGATTATGTTATGCAAAATAACAAAATGTTCATCACAAAATTATTCTTGTATTTGTTGATAAACAATGAATAGGTACCATCCCTCCTTGCAAGTTCTAACCATTTTTTCCGCATTTGTGGCATATAAATAATTTGTCTGGCGTTTTATGCTTCTCCTTTTATACTAGGACACTATACAGTACTTGTATGGATGGATGGATGATTGATGGATTCATTTTTAACTAAATAATTTTAATAGTCAGCGTACAGCGTATTGTTTGCTTTGCACGGAGTGACGTCATTCAAGACGCCATGACAGTCTAGAGCATTTTCGAGGGAAAATTGAATAAGTTTTTTAAAATACAAAATACATATTGCTAATGTACTATTTAAAATAATATTTTTTGGAGTTAAATAAACATCAAGGTATATTATTAACCACTTTTTAAAATATAGGCAACTAGCTTATTGTCAGCTATTTTATTTATCGTGTGTTTGTATTTTTTCCATTGCAGGTTCGACTTCAAAGGCATTATCGACTACATATTCTACAGCAAGCAGTCGATGACGCCGCTCGGGCTTCTGGGGCCGCTGTCGCAGGACTGGTTCCGGGAGCACAAGGTGGTAGGCTGCCCCCATCCGCACATACCTTCAGGTCAGTACATATTGTACACCGAGCAGTCGATGACACTGCTGGGGCTGCAGTCCAAGACTGGTTCCGGGAGCACAAGGTGGTGGGCTGTCCCCATCCGCACATACCTTCATGTCAGTGCATATTGTACACCGAGCAGTCGATGGCACTGCTGGGGCTACTGTCCAGGACAGCTTCCGGGAGCACAAGGTGGTGGGCTGCCCCCATCTGCACATACCTTCAGGTCAGTACATATTGTACAGCGAGCAGTCGATGGCACTGCTGGGGCTACTGTCCAGGACAGCTTCCGGGAGCACAAGGTGGTGGGCTGCCCCCATCTGCACAAACCTTCAGGTCAGTACATATTGTACAGCGAGCAGTCGATGGCACTGCTGGGGCTGCTGTCCAGGACAGCTTCCGAGAGCACAAGGTGGTGGGCTGTCCCCATCTGCACATACCTTCAGGTCAGTACATATTGTACAGCGATCAGTCGATGGCACTGCTGGGGCTGCTGTCCAGGACTGCTTCCGAGAGCACAAGGTGGTGGGCTGCCCCCATCTGCACATACCTTCAGGTCAGTACATATTGTACAGCGAGCAGTCGATGACACTGCTGGGGCTGCTGTCCAGGACAGCTTCCGAGAGCATAAGGTGGTGGGCTGCCCCCATCTGCACATACCTTCAGGTCAGTACATATTGTACAATTAATGATGAATTATTTGTGTTCTTTATAGAAGCATCGAAGGCATTGTTTTATCTTCATAACACAGAATAAACGCAATATTATTATATTAAGTGCACATGCAGCGTGTTTGAATTGTGACTCAAGCGAATTACGGTCATGCACCACAATTTAAGCGGATCACTTTTGAGCCGCGAGTGCTGTATCTTCCCATTTTGTTTTAATCTAAGTTAACCAGTGTGTCTCTTGTATGACGCAGATCACTTCCCGCTGCTAGTGGAGCTGGAAATGAGCCCCACGACGGGCGGCAACTCGAACGGTCTCATCGGACGCAGGTAGCACGCGTCGCCGCGCGCGCGCCGTCCGCGGCCCCGCCCGCGCCCGCACCACGCGGACACTAGCTAGGTGGAGCGCTGCAACGCTATATATATAGGTAACTGGGAGAACGGGGTCATTGACCGGAGAAACGCCCGCAATGTCTGCGCCGTCACCGCGCCAACGCTGATGCAAGCTAGAAGGAGCGATTACATTAACACACTATTTGTATATGAGGAGAATGAAAAACCTTTTTCATTGTTCGGAGTAACGCCCGCACAGAAACTACTAAAAATGGAGGTATCTCACAAACGACGAGGATAGCAAATTTAAATAAGGGGAGTTGTCATTGATCTGAGTAACACACCGCAATCACAAAATATCAGCTAGATAGATAGCCGGAGTAAAACAGTTTTTCTTTACCACACAACACACAATGGAGACTAGCTAGCTAGAGCACTTTGTTTACGACACTATCTTTTACCAACAACGTAGATAGGAGACTGTCATCAAAAGCTAGTTCGGTGGAATGTCTTTAGGAGTACAACTGGAACGATCTCGTAGGTCGCAGGTAGCCCTTCTCATCGCCCGCGCCCGCACCACGCGGACACTAGCTAGGTGGAGCGCTGCAACGCTATATATATAGGTAACTGGGAGAACGGGGTCATTGACCGGAGAAACGCCCGCAATGTCTGCGCCGTCACCGCGCCAACGCCGCAGATGCAAGCTAGAAGGAGCGATTAGATTAACACACTATTTGTATATAAGGTTAATGAAAAACCTTTTTCGTTGTTCGGAGTAACGCCCGCACAGAAACTACTAAAAATGGAGGTATCTCACAAACGACGAGGATAGCAAATGTATAAGGGGATTGTCATTGATCTGAATAACACACCGCAATCACAAAAATTCATTTTTTTTTACCACACAACACACAATGGAGACTAGCTAGCTAGAGCACTTTGTTTACGACACTATCTTTTACTGACGACGTAGATACGAGACTGTCATCAAAAGCTAGTTCGGTGGAATGTCTTTAGGAATACAACTAGAACGGTCTCATTGGTCGCAGGTAGCCCTCGTCATCACCCGTGCCCGCATCACGCGGACACTATCTAGGTGGAGCGCTGCAAGGCCATATAAAGATAACTAGTAGAACGGGGATGGGAGGAGGGGTCATTGGCCGGCATAACGCCCGCGATTTCTGTGCCGTCACCACGCCAACGCCACGGATGAAAGCTAGAAGGAGCAATTAGATTAACACAACATTTGTAAACGGGGACGGACGGAGAAGGATGAGAACGAAAGTTACGCTTGTACAGAAATTCGGTGGATGGATAGTAAGACTAGGTACCTATCTCACAAACACTACGGCGAGGTTGGGAAATGAAAATAAACGGACTGTGATTGATCTTAGTAACAGACTGCAACCACAGAAATCAGTCATATTTTTCTTTACCACACAACACACAACGGAGACCAGCTAAAGCGCCTTGTTAACAACACAATCACTTACAAACTACTAGGATGGGATACTATTAGTAAAAATACCATTATGGCTAGTAAATGGTTTATTGAGTACATATAGAGTGGTCTTTATTCAACGGTCTCTCGGACCCATGTAACACGCGTCGGTAACACGCCTACCTCAACTAGTGATTAATCAATTAACGTAACTAGTGCCGTTAGTAACTAATTGGTACAAAAACTGGCGTTGTAACAAACAAATAGCTATACCGCAACAAGTGACGGAAAAATTAAACGCTCTACGCCACTAGTTGCTCTGTCAGTAATCAATTAGATCCATAAAGCTCCTACCTCAACTAGTGATAGAAACATCCACATTACTAGCGCCGTCACTAACAAACTGATTAAATATGTAGCGTCCTTGAAATCATAACACCCCAAACTAGAGCTGTCAATAAACTGATTGAATTACGAGTGTCCTAGAAATCAAAACACCCCAAACTAGAGCTGTCAATAATCTGGTTTAGTAATTATCGTCGTAGCAAGCAAATGGAAAAATAACCGCCCCTCAACTAGTTGCGCCGTTGTGATATGTACTGCCTCAGTAACACCCCTATCTCAACTAGTGATGGAATAATAAGCGTAATTAGCGCAATCAGTGACTAACTAGTTCACTAGCTTTGTAAGAAACATCCATACAGCAACAAGCGACGGAAAAAAACCCTGGTACAGCAATCAATACCATATACACCTAAAAATTATTACCAGCAAAATTATTAATGGTCATAACATGTACCTACTTTTTATACATCGCGCTGGAATTAAAAGAGTAGCGGCTCCTGAATAGTACAAGTCATTATTTAAATCCACTGAAATGCGGAGACCATTAGAGAGAATCCAGTTGGAAATTTTATTTGCCTCCGTTACTTGTGTCACTAATTCATTTGAGTAAATATTCACAATGCTGCAATAGTGAAATGAAGGAATAAACCGTCCTTTGTGATAGGCGGTATAGCCATCTGTGCAATGCTTGAAAAAGAAACTTGATTGAAAATATATTACCGATAGAAATATCTAAAGCCGATTTAATTACAAGTTACCTAGATCGCTTTTTACAGCAGCTGGCTCCTATCTATGTTGTGTAAACAGGCTTGATAAACTTTTATAAACTCGTATAAATAAAATCATTTCTTTCGAAAAATATATTAACAAAGGTGTGTCTTTTTGTAATAGAACAATTTCGCTTGTATTAATGAATGATTATATTAAACGTAAGTTCAAAATATTTTAAATGTAACAAATTATCAGAAAACATAACCAAACTGTATCGATTTTTACTGTTCATAAAAAAAATGTAATCTATTCGTTACATCCTGGTAAATATTATGTAACATTCTAAAACAAAAGTAACTATGGTATTAAATGTTTTCAATGTTATTATGTTTTAGTTTACACATGTTTTTGCACTGATCGTGAATATTTACAAATCTGTTGTCTTTAGACATGGAACATCTATTATGTTAAAAGCTAAATTTAATTGTGGCAAGCCAATGTTTTGTACAAAATTTTAATGTTCATGATACTTTTGGAGCTTCGTGCTTGGTTTGTAATGTATTTATTCAACCTGAAACCATTTTCTCATATAACTCGTGTCATCAAAAGAAAGGAATTGAAAATGTCAACGCAAGACATTCTGTCCCTTTTGCACGTTAATTAGGATAGCATGCCCGAAAGGGACAGAATGTCGTCATTTGCGATTCATTTCTTTAATGACACGACTTATACATGTGTGATTGAAATATTCTTATGACTTCCTCATTGTTCCACTTATAGCAGATATGACTTTTTTCCGCAGTAATACGGTGCGTGGTTGCTAATCAATTGACATAACTATCTTCGTTGTATGTAGGGGTATCCTGTATGTTTGTACGTACATGATAGTTGTCATGCAATATTGATCCTTGCGGTGTAAGTGATTAGGTTCGTTGTGCGGTGGCGTGAATGGTTGCATGCTGATTGGTCCGAACGTCGTTGTCTCTTCACTGGATGTTAGTACGATAGTTTATTGTTGATTATATAGTAGGATGTCGTTTCTACTTATTATTTTGCTCAACTATAGTCTCTAGTGACGCGAATATCTTCGAAGAACTATTTAGTATCTTCCTTAAAATGTAATGTAGCCAGTTTGAAGCTGTGTCCAGTGAGAAGAGAACGGTCATAAAGACATAAAGAAGAATGATAAATAGAATTAAGTTCAAATTCAATCCAATTTAGGAATGTGTGCGAGTGATAATCGTTTAAATGTTATAGACTAGGGTGTTGTGTATGTATGTGCAATCATTATTTCCATTCACGTCTTCATAGTATTTTAAAAAGTGAATCTGTTTTAAATGTTTGACTATTGATTCTATAAATTAATGTGAATAATTTAATGGGTAAAGTATATTCGGACTTACGCTTATTGTGTCAATAAATTTGATGAATTATAAAGAGAAGGTGGTCGCGGGAGATATAAATATTTTGTCATTATAGTTTGTCGGCAGATTTACGCTTACTTTTCAATTATTATACAGTTGAGGAATCACTCAGTGATACGTCGGATCTGTTCCTCGTTTATTGGCTTTATGGTCACAACAGTATGTCGGTATTGATATGACCAAGGTTAGTTTTTAGTTTTTACCAGCTAAATTAACCTATTTCGCTCTTTGCATTTGCTTAAACAATAACCTACTTTCTTATTTAAAAATTATCTTTGTCCAACAGTCATATTAAAGGAGGCGTTGCCTTTTTCCTACTTCCGTCATTATAAAATAAAGTACTTAACAGTTTAACGTTTTGTACTATTCACAGCAAACTAAGAAATCAGTGGTGATAGGAACTTACACTTCTTGGTCATAACTATAACGATTATGCTGTTAACATACTATGAATCAATAAATGGTGGATCTATGAACCGTGAATGTGGAATGTGTTCGGTGCTGCTTGAAACTTGTCTAAAACCACATTTCTGTAAGTTATTTTGGCACGGAAAGCCATGTTCGACGGTTCGGCAGTTGAATACATAAATTATGAATGTTTCTGTCCTCGCGCGATGATAAGAGTATGTATGTCAAACGTCCATTTACCAATTAGTGTTAGAAATTCCTCCACTGTATATTATTTAGGTAATATTTTGAATGTGGAATATAAATAATATCATGCAATGTATGTGTGTCGCTTGGGACCGAGTTCTAGGACTTTGACTTTACGAAGGACCCCAATTCTAATTAATAACCTAATTCTACCCCCCTTCCCCCTCCTAGCATAAGCTCCAATGATTATATATCTATCACTATCACTTATACGCGATATAATGTAAATTATGGTGCTCATGCTACGGAGACTGGTCTCAGTAAAAGATAGGCATATCAAGCTTTGGTTAGTTTATCTTTTACCGGCGATAGGTGGTCGGGATATGCTGTAATTGTATCTATCTTAGTCCTATTGACTCAGTCGCTAGTTTGTTGTTGGATCAGTGAGACAGCGTTTTACTTGCAATAAATAGCTTCGCCTTTATTATAATAATAAAGTGATTCAGTGTTTCAATAAAATAAACAACGGCCTTAGTAGCTTGCAGTAACCTCGCCGGCGGCGTGCCAATGTCTTTAGGTACTAACGTATCATACGTGTCTTGTATAGTTTTGTGAGTAGATTTTCTAAAACATCGTAGTCAATTTCTTGTTTAATTCCTTCCTTTTTTCTAAAGCGTTGAATTACGCTACCTCTTCTAATAAAACCTGTTTGTATCAAACTATTTCTATGCATGTATTCTAAAATTAGATTCGCCGTAGTCACGGCCGGGCGTGTAAGATAAAATATCTTTATGAACTCATAGAGTATTGGGTGTTATTTTTGATACTTGATTGACTATTTAAAAGTTTTATATTGAGAGACCATTACGTATTAATCGAACACTGCCTAATGTGACATCACTCGTGTGCAATAAATGTGTCTGACTTAAAATGTTTGTATAGATCGTTGTTACATACTTAGCGGTAAGCGCTGAATGTTAGATGGCTAATGTTTCTGCGTGCTTAGTTCGAGTTTTTGACGTATTTTTAACTCTATCGCGTCCACTTAAACAGCATTTTTATCACTATGTAGTAAACGTAGTACGTTGCGTTTGCCACTAGATGGCGCTCCTCTATTACCATACGGTGTGACGTTGACGCGAATCGACTAAGTTTGAAACTCGTACTAAGTGTTCTGATCCACTGTCTAAGAGTTGCGGTTTAGGAGATCTCGCAATCATTGTAGTGTTCCTTGTCTACAAATCTGTAGTGTCGTATTATTTGTGTCATAGTGTTTATTATTGAATGGGCGTGCCAGGAGCGTCTCACTGATCGGCGAGTTGTAGCGAGGTAGGCATTTAGTGGGCGTTAGTGCGTCTCAATGGCGTTCGATTCGACAGAACAAAGCGGGCGGGCGTACTCTTGTTAGGTTAATGTGACATCAATGTACCAACAAACTTCTCAGCGAGACATTATTTTTACCATTGAGTTTACCCCCATCCCGTTTCACTCTGTGTTTATTTTTTGTATGTAATAGTGAACTGTTGCGTAGTAGTGAAGTATGTTTTTTTACGAATGTGGTGGTACCCTTTCGACTGTTTCGCCGATGAACATCAACCCTTAGTTATAAGTAGGATTATTTGTAAAGATCGTGACCCCATTATCACCCCCTTTAGTGCGTTTTTGATTGAAACAAAACTTTGGTAGTCGCTAAAGTCTCATATAATATTAGTTCTAGCTAGAGTCTGTCAGATATCAACAATTTTATCAATTTCAGTACATTTAGTACCTATTCTTCTTTAAAGGTTAATGAAAATAAAACAATAACTACTTTTACGCGCTTTTTTTGGTTTAACTTTTGCTCCCTATAGTGTTTACTAATTTTGGCACAGGAGACGAGACAAAATTCGGGACAGTTCCTGACTACTTATGGCAACTTTAGTTCTAGCCCGTCAAAATCAGTATTCTAACCGCACGGTCTGATCCAAAAAAATACGAAATTAGTTGCATTTCATTAAATATTAGTAGGTATAGTAAGTTAGTTTTTTGTTTCGATCGGTGTCGTGGTGTTGTTCAACGGCGACAGTCGTCCCCTTAGTGATAGCGGGTAGCATACTGGCGTAGTACAAATGTATGTGTGTGTCGGTAGGGCGCTAGCGGGCGCGAGCACTGCGTCGTTTCTCATTCGAGATTGTTCGACACAGTTTTAAAAGGCAAGGGGCGAACATACATGCATTGGACCCTAACAAATTCCGATGCAAGTAAGCTTCTTCATAGTGCCTCAGAAGGCTTGTTATAAAGTTTTTATTTTAACGAAACCGAAGTTTCTACCTAAAACATGTTACAGGAAAACAATTTAGTGTACGCTTTAATTTCCACATAAAAAATTTAAAATATCAAAAATGTAGCTTTATCCGAAATGTTAGTTTTGATTATTTTCGTAAGCGGACATTGTAGCGTTCGCCCTTTGCCTCGAGTGTGACAGGTATATTCGGCGTTAGGCTTGTATGGACCATCTTACTAGACTGTTGCAATAGTCGAAGCTGCGTCGATCTTTTATGTAATACGTCTAGTCATAATCTGAGCTTGGTTGCTGCACTGATGTTACTCGTCAAGTGTACGGTGGAAGTCTATCAGGGGTCAGTTTACATTGCTGCAGCTTTTTATTATATTTGACATGGTTTTAACTCTACCTGCATAGGGTATACCCTTTGAATTTAAATGGAAACGAATGGACGTCTCCATGTAAACGAAATAGTACCTTATTATTTGGAGTTACAGCTCAATTTGCTTCATAATTTTTTTTAAATGCTGCAATTTGTATTGACCCTTTCGAGAGGCATTACAAACTTACATTTCCATGTGAAGTTATACTTTATACAAATTAAGTTAGGTAAACCAAGTTATAAGTTTTTTTATTATTCCCTCTTTCTTCAAAGGTGAAACCTTTCCTTCTATTTCCTAAGTATTAAAGTACAATTTCGCTTGGGCTAGTTGAATGAAAATGTGAGTTTGAAAATGTTTCACAGATGGACATTCTTCAGTGGAATCTTTAAAAAGTGTCGGTAGCGTTTAGTGTCATGATCATTCTCATGTGTTAAGAAGTCCTCGTTGTGAAGCGTTAGTTGTCTTATCGGAATAAGTAGTGATATTTGTGAAAATCCTTTATAAATTGTATAAAATGTAACAAAAACTATTTGGACCATTTCATAGTTGTATCTACGCTTATGACTGTTTTATTTTCCCCCTCCATTGGTATTGTTTGAATCGAATATAATTTGAATTTTGAATATTTTTTATTCCGTTTAATATATTATTATTATGTATATCAATTATCAAACGATAGGTGCTGTTGTATTTAATTTTTAATGTTACTAACGTTTGTGATAGAGACACTGTATATCTCTCTGCAGACTATCGGATTAATTGTGAAAAAAATAAGCCAAATCATGAAAAGGGTATATTGAATTATTACTTTTAGGATAAATGGAGTTAAAATGAAGTTTTATACTAATCAAATTTTACTACTAATTCTGTATAATTTTTCTAAGTACAGATAGATTTTAAAGTCATATCATGATGATCTTTTTCTAGTACTTGTGTAAATTAAATGTAGGATTTTAAGACTGTTGCGACGATTGGAGTTGAATTGTTTCTATGCGCTGAAAGTAAAGCACAAATGTTTAGCGTTTCATAAGGTAGCTGTTCGCGGACGTAGGAATTATTTCAATTTCATGACTCCGATTTGCCTTCACACAATGCTCTAAAATTTGTATTAATTTAATTTGATTACAATCTCAAAAATAAATACGTCTAGTGATTAATTTTGCATTTACAAAAGCATAATAAAGTTTGAAAATTACTCGATCTTTGAACAATGACGTCAATAGCAATACATATTATAATTATTATTGAGGAGCAATTAAACATTTTGTGGTAAGATTTGGCTTTACTGAAACTTGGCTAATTTGTGAGTTATACTTACGCTTTATAAAGATTTATCACTTATATTTTTTTTATACAACTAAATTACAGTGAACCTTAGTATGATAGAATTCTCAGTATTGAAATAAACCAATAGAACACAGTTACGATGCGTAAGTATCGCTTATGAATAATGAGAGCTTTATTGTGACAAGTTTATCTTATTTGTAGTAGAACATATATGATCTCTTTATTTTTAATAGAATTTTGATGGACATTTTTACTTAATAGTTGTAGCATTGTGTAGTTGAAATAGAGTTTTATAATAATCATCGCGCACACGTTTGTTATACACTCGCGTGCAAAGAAACTGCCCACACGTTTCGATACTTAAATCGCATTAATAATATTTCAAATCGAACTAATTAACTAATTAATTTTAAATTAAAAATGTAATCCAAAAATACTCAACTTTTATGTGTGCAGCTAGTTTCTTTGATTGTGAGTATATTTCAAAGTTAACGAATCATATTACAAATCTGATGCCATCCAAAATTGAGAAAATAATTTTATGTTGCGCTGTCGAAACTTCTCACGAACACAATTAACCTTTCCTTCCTACTTATCGACTCTGTACTTATATTTTCATCAAATAAATCGTTGTTGGTTTAATGTCAGTAATCTTTTTGTACATATTTGTATTATAATTTCATGTTATATGTGTTATGTAAATATGTGATCGATCAACGCACTGTACGTGCTAATATTATAATGTATTCCTAGTGAGTGGGGAGTTTCGTCAGATCTAGTGTGCGTAAACGTTTTGGACTATGATTGGATGAATACCACGAGAAGCCTTCATGTTGTCTGTACATTTATTTTGTAAATATGTAATTTCGATAGCAATTAATGCTAAACAACGAGCGAGCCGTCGCATAATGTCAGCCGTTTGGACTTCTGCGCACACTGACATCGAATCCATTCACAGCAAAGGGAACCGCTAGTGTTAAAATATAGTAAGGTGTAACACAACAGACATTCCACAGGCCCTATCGAATTAGCTCAATACAAAAGACTGTTTGAGACTTAAAAAGAAAAAAAAAAATATCATGATATTTTCTGAAGCACCTTAACTACTTTACTAAATGTGTTTTATGGTGATTTAATGATAAGATCCAATGTTTAAACTCACTAGTATGTAAGGACAAATGCTTTACGTCACTGTGATAGACAATACAAATTTACCTGAGAGAGACACCATAGGCATTTATGAGAAAATTAATTCTTAAAGGACAAAATACGAAGGGACATGTCGCAGTAAATGTAGCAAGTATGCACTCCACTCCATTTTGTGAAACCGCAGTATTTCTTTGTGTCAGGTGTCGTTCTAACTGACAACGATCGTACGATGAAACGATGCTTCCTCGTCGTGCGATCAAAATAATGTACGCGTGCTCGTGAAACGGCTTACGAGCTAAGACACTTTTAAAGAAATCTTTGTTTGAAAATCATCGCACGACGATAAAGCATTGTGTCATCGTAAGATAGTGGCTAATTATGACGACGCCGCATACAAAATGAGGTGGTGTGCAGTTGAAGGTGTGTTAGTATAAAGTACAAAGCGTATGTGCAGAAGTTCCGTTATGGCTCGATGCTGTGTCGAGCGGCGTAATGCGCGCGCGCGCCTGCGCGGCCCGCGTCTCGCTGTTCTGTTTGTTGATACATTATGTATATTTGAATGAATCAAATTATAGAAGAATATGAATTTTATAACTGACTTTTATTTAAATTTGCCCTAAGTATGTACAAGGTGTAAAAAAAAAACCAATGACAAAGAATAAAACTAAGCATTTTGTACACCCAAACAAGTAATACTACAAAAGTATAATACGCGGGAATCATTTGTATGTTTAGGCGTTTGAGCAGACGACGGGGCGGGGCGGGCATTTTGTCCGCGAAGCAATAAAGACCGCGTCTGCCCGCCGGGCACCTGCGGCGCGGTCTTTTGGCCCTCTGTGTGCGTTTGAAGTATAGGATTCACTTTGTGCTATTATTCGCGGCGAAATTGACCCCCCCCCCCCCCGCCCCGTCATCTGCTAAACGCCTTAAGTTAAAAAAAATCTTTTCCAGTACGCAATGTATAGCGCGGCACGCTACTGTGGCGCTACGCAAAGAATGTGCCTGTGTGTATGTGTGTGTAAGTGCATCGATAAAAAGTTTCTAAAAAACGTTTTGAAAATATTAATGTATAAATCTTGAAAAAAAAATTGTGGCTGATCTTCAATATCTCCATAACCATCAGTTTCTCAGCTATGGTCCAGAAGAAAAATATTATCGTCATGATGTGGAAAATACGTGGCCTTCGACTTCGTTACAGGATTTTTTACAGCCTGTATATACCATATACCAGCTTTCATGGTTTCGCCTGCTCTCAGAAGCACGTGCAGAAAATTCGTGCTTGGGGTACTATATCTTTATATATATAATTCTTCTGTGAGTGTGTATGTCACTGAACTTCTCTTAAACGACTGGACCGATTTTGATGAAATTTTTTGTGTGTGTTCAAGGGGATCTGAGAATGGTTTAGATTCACAATTTTGTCCGCTGGACACCCTATTTTTTTAGGGCGGTACGAAGTTCGCTGGGTCAGCTAGTTATAGATAAACTTTCCCCATTTTAAGATCATAAATCTTTCTAGGTGATATGACTTAAAATTGTATGGGGCTCGGGGTCGGTGACAGCCGCACTGACCATTATGCTACCGCGACCCCCCCCGCATGTATATGAATATTATATCAATTTCACCATGTTTGGCAGTAGTACAGTTATTTTAGAAACAATCGTCATCACAAGTCCCGTCACTTACATTATGCAAGCGAAATAAGCTTAGTCTGTCAGGTCATATTGGTTCTCCAACATTTATTCATAAATAAATTAAGAGCAATAAACCCATAACTTTCATATACATACAATATAGAGTGAAATGAGGAACCCAGAAATGATTGGCCAACCACTGCTTTTTCAAGAAGCGTTAAAGTATGAAGTTGCTTTATCTATTTTGGCTCTCTTAAGAATTATTAATTTATATTTTGCTTTATGAACACTATTATTTATATTGAAACTTAGCTAAAACATTTAACTATTATATTAATTTAGAAAATAACTGAATAACCAATTTTTATGGAATAATTTTAGTTGAGGTTGAGCATTAACTGAGGAGCTATGACATTCAGAATGACAGTTGGGCAATAGCAGACTCATACATTCACTTCTTAATATGAGTTAACATTGAGGGGTGTAATATTCAAATCAATACTATTACTTTAACCAGATTTAGCCTATTAAGTGAATTAGTCCTCACAATTTTTGCATATGAGTTCAAAGATAAAACAAAAAACTTGATAATAGCAATGTTTACTATAAATAAATCTAATTACCTTATTTACTAACTAAAACAATTTTAAATATATTTGAAAACAACATCTTTAAAACTGTCTACAGTTTGCAACTCTAAGGTGACAGGACACTGCAGCCAGTTTGACAAAAGTTCTTCTGTGTATCCCAGAAGGAAGTACATTTTGGTTGGTGAGACTGCTCGTCTCACTATAGCAGCTACCCTGATGTGGTTGAACTGTCTCTTCACTATTATCTGTAAAAATATTGCTTTTTATAGTTTAAAGCATTTATCTTGATTGAATTAAACATAAACCAACACTGCCCCAAAAAGCTGCTAAGTCTCATAACATTAATAAACACAACAAAATATTCTCATTCAAATAATATTGCAATGTCAATATATTAATTATATAAATAAATATTTTTCATATTTTATTATACTAGCAAGCACTTCACATAGCAATTTGTATTTGCTTTTTGTAACTTAAAGGAAATATTGCTGTAGACTATCCTTATCATGCTCTATAGAAGAGGGACTGTCAAATTTACAAAAAGCACTTACAAATAAAGTTATCTGAATATGGCTTTTTCTAATCAGTGCTAAACAGTGGCAGTCTACTATCAAAACACTGTCTTTCTCCACAGAATAGTTAAAAATCATCTAACCTCACTACACGTTAATCCATGCCATGTTCCTGTCATGAATCTTCTGATGAATTCATCTTCAAGTGCAGTCTCTGATCTTCGAAGTCCATCTTTCAAACTTGCTATAATTATAATAATACAAAAATATATCACTGAAATGTAGAAATCTCTTGCAATTGAAAAGAATGTGCTATTTATTTGATATCTAAAGAGCTATGTACTTCCTGATGAGGCTGTAGTCAACTTGGGACAGTAGTTAAGGCTTGGGCTGCCATCTCTAAAATATGGTAACCAGGATAAGACGCGTGATAACCCCGGATTTTGGAGCCCAGAACCCGGACAGACCAATAAAAAAATAGTTAAAAATGTCACAAATCAACTTTTTTATCTTGATCTAGGCAAAAGAGTTAGCGGTCTACCTCATAATAAGTGGTCTCTGCTGCCCATGGACACTTGCAGCACCAAGGGCCACTCATGCGTTGCCGTAAATTTTTAAACCCGGACTACAAATAAAACCCCGCCCGGACGCTCCCCGGACTCCCCGTAAACTAGGACAAATCCGGAGAAACCCGGACGGATGGCAGCCCTAGTTAAGGCCCATGTAGGTGTAGCCTAGGAGTATTTTCTTTACGATTTATTTGAAACTTACAAGTATTCCAAGAGTTCCATGACTTCCGATGCGCTATGTAATGAGGTGGATTGGCCATTTCGTAGGTAAGAGGTCTGTCGCGCTTCTTCGTTATTCTATATTTGCCTGACACTACTCGACACATAGGTGCCGATGTGTGTATTTGGGATGCTGCTATTGATGCCCATTGGACCAATGGGGGTTTGGACGTTAAGCAATTCTGAAAAAGTAACAAATTACTGAATAAATATGTGAAGATTCTAATCTGATTATAAAGTTTTGTCACTTTACAATATGAATGCACCTGTGCTAATTTCACTAAAGAACTATTCATTATCAAAATTAAAATATTGGCTGGATAGCAGATAAAGTTACGTAAATAATTATTTTATTCTAAATATTTTTGTTTTAGGTTAGGAACTGATTTTTTTTTTGTTGAAGTTCTCCCGTTTTAGGGAAGGCAAAGGGAACAATGCCCATACAGCCTGGTCTTCAATTAAATTAATCTTCTTATTGTTTTTACATTAGAATGTCGGTGTGACGCATTCTAATGTTTCTTGGAGTGTTTGGCACGAAATGTATCGAGTTGGCTTTTTCGATAAGCTTCTGTGAGGTAGTCAACACTACAATAAAATTCTCACGTCCACTTGACTGGAATAGCGTATATTTTAATGATTCCACTAATTCTTCAGTTACGCAGATAGTTGTTACACAAAACCACACCAATTTTATTACACAATATCCACTATGAACGAATTTAAGAATAATTAAAATAAGACGCCAACCGCACTCGATGAAATCCCGCCAAAAAAAAAACTTAGGAACTGAACTGAATTTATTTTTTGACAGAAGGGTGCAGTGTTACTATCTTATAAAAGTAGATTACCTTAATTTTCAATTATTAGTAGGGACATTGGTGTCAATTCTGGCATAATTCTCTAAACCTAAACGTAAATTTGGCAACAGTATTCTGGTCATTCTCTATACAGAAGGAAAATAGAGACTGATTTTAAAATTAGTTTGAAGTTTAGAGAATCACGCCAGAATCGACACCATTATCCTTTTTTTTTATTGTTAATGTATGCCGATCGCACAAATAAACTTCTTGTCTGGTTATCTATCCCGTTATCCCTCTGCTTCTTATATAATAATTGCGGTTGCCGTTGGAGGTTCTACAATAATAATCAGGATCACTCACTATAATACTTTTAGCCATAAATAAATGATTGGTCTCGTTAACATAGCTGTAATCGTAAGAGTTTTAGCCATGTTTTACCGTCTACTAACCAGTACGAAACCGGGCGTTCGAAATTATTCAATTTTGCCGCGAAAGCCTCGGTCCAGTAGAGGCATCCTTCGAACCGATGACGAGAGGATGCATCGACTTGCCCCCCGGTCAGGGAGACTCGTAGATATAGCTGACGTGCTGGCCGCCGCGGGTACGGTCCTGGGCCCTAGCGTTCCTATCCAGTCCGAGAGCCCCGTTGGGGCCCCGGCGGCCGCTGCAGGGGGATACGGGGCCTTTCCTCCCGTCCCATAGGTTTCTCCATTCTTTAGAAAGTTACACGGGGAAACAAGCTCTTTCTGACGGAGACAAAAATAATTGCGTCCGCAGCCACAGGCTCCCTAAATTATCTACTATCTAGGGCTACGTGCTTGAAGAGACCCTCAAAGCGAAAACCGGTGAATGCCTGTATGTTCAGGCGGAAGTTCCCTCCTTTTCTATGTTGAGCGTTCACGTGGACTCTGGTCCTTGGGCTAAAGTCCACGTGAGCCTCTACAGATCTCATACTGGTGACGTTAAAGTATCTCAACTTTTCGAATATCTTAGTCGGGTAACAGATGAAGCGCAGGAGCAATTTCCAAATGCATCATTGGTGTTTTCGGGGGATTTTAATACTTGCTACAGTTTGTGGTTAGGTTCTCCCAAAACTGACCATGCAGGGATCTCTGTTCACGCATTCGCTCGCATGATGATGACACGCATGATTTGAAGCAACTGTTTGATCAGCCTACCAGGTTCCCAGATATTCCAAGTCAAGCGCCCTCTTTCTTGGACCATTTGCTAACGACTCATCAACAGGGATATCAGGTTGTGGTTAGAGCCCTACGGAGCTCGTCGGATCATTGTCTGACATCTGTCCAACCGCCACAAGCCAAGCCTCCGCGTCAGCGGTGGTCGAATCCGGCTCTGGCACTATGGGTCGGCAGGTTGGGACGGGATGCGTGACTACTGCTTCAGTGTCAGGGATCTTTCAGCCAGCACCATTACCGTTACTGAGGAGATTGTAATGGGTATGGAATACTATAATTTTCTGGAAATGGAATACTTTATATATAATGAAATTTATTTGATTCATTAAAACTACGTTGTTTTTTTAAGTTTTTAAACACTTTTATTTAGCTGCTGCATGCTAAACTACAATAAACAATATTTTAAATTACAAATTGATTTTAAGAAACCTAGTTTCTCCAAGCAGACGTTATTTTTTTGTTTGGAGAAGTAGCCAAATACGCCCCTGAGTTTGCTGCGAAGTAAATAGGTAGCGTTCGGCAGCGGCGCGGCGTGTTTCTTGACGGAACATATGATTTTTTTATTTTTTTGTTGAGAATAATGGTTTTTTGTTTGGTAGTCGTGGACTCGACTTGTACTATTCGAGGGTCGTAGATAGCCCGCGGGCGGTCGTTTGCCCACCCCTGGCTTAAAGCATAATAATTTATGTCTTCTGATAGTCTCCGTTACGTTGAAATAAGTTCATGTTCACAATTAAAACATTGTCTTCTGTTCGTATTCGAGGACGTGATTTGCTATTCGATTGTCCGATTTGGGCACGACGAACAACGGATACAAGTTATAGTACAAAAAGAAGGAAGAAAAAGAAACGCGAATAGAAATGCGCACGTAAAAATATTAGGTACTAGGTAAGTAGGTACGGTATCGATGCTAATGCATTACATAAGTTTTATTTGAATCCTAAAATGGGTATTAATAACGAGAACCCAGTTGATAAAGATTTTAATGTTAATTGATTACATACCTAGGTACGTTTTGACCACGGAGTTCGTACGTACGTTCAGAATTTGGAAGAAAAACTGCATAAATAAACGCCTTTTTTGTTATACCTAAATAAAGCAAAGAAACTAAATAGGTATGTGGATAAAGAATGTGTCAGTCTTAAGCTTCGTAATATTACTCTGCAACGGTAAGCTTGTTAGAGGTATGTTAATTATATTTATTTCTCCGTAAGCTGATATTAAAGTGAAATCATGTACTTTTAAATTATTTATTTTAAATGAAAAGTATTTAGTATATATTTTAGTGAAAATAGGTCAATTTTCAGTTCATTCATTCTGAAGTAGGCAATCCAGCCCCTCTAGCATGACCACCGAAACGGGATATAATAAAGCCATATTATCGGCACTATCTGTCACACTACAGTGGAGTTTGACAGTAGTCTGACAGTTAATGCCGATATATCGCTTTAACATATCCCGTTTCGGTGGTCATGCTAGAGGGGCTGATGATATGCAAGAGGGGTTAATATTGTATGCGGTAGGCTCAGATTCTATAGTCTGAGGTGGTAGGTATCTTGTCGACAGCCGTTGGGTGTCGTTAGAACCGCACTGCAGGACGTCTCAATAAATAATTACCAAATAATAGTTGAAAAATAAAACAGTAAATCAGTGAAGTTGCTCTGGGCTGGACTTACTAATTAAATCCAATGCGTTGGATTCATCATCTTGAGGTACGCAACGCACCACGCCCTATACGCTATATTGATAGCACACGTCGTATCCTGATGTGGTTTCGATTACTTTCACTCTTATTTCTAAATTACATTGAAAATTATATACAGAAAATTCATAAATTCAGGTTAATCAATTTCTAGAGGTAGGTTTTGAATGAAGTCATTAAACTAACGGCCAGGATGTGCTTATTGGATAATTTTCTATTTTAGCACAAACTGACAATGAAAAGAATAAGAATAAAAATATTGAAAGTATTATTAAGAAAGTGTATAATATTTCTTTGGCGTCACTAGTCCAAGCAAACCCAAATGAAAAAGAAGAAACTTTACATAAAATCGAAAATAAACTGAAAGTGTCTGCGAAACGATTTGGTAGCAAAGCCGATAAATATGTACACATTGTAATGCATGGATTAAAAGCACTAATGTCTTTAGACTCACGTAAACAATTTGAATTTCAACCATTAGCTCAAAAGCAAAATAAAGTAAAGAGTGATAATAATACTAAAATAAGTCATAAAGCAAGTGAAAAGGCTGTTGCCCAAATTGCCGGTAAAATATTCGATATTTTAAGTAAGCATACTAAGAATGCAAAATCTATGGAAGAGAAAATTGCAACTATTGAACAAATACGAAAAAAAATATTGCAAGTGGCTCAGGAACATAGTGAAATTAACTCCAATCACAATGAAAGCAAAATATATGCTGATCTTATTACACGTGGTATGAAACAGATGCTAGTAAAGCTAGCTGAAAATAAAAGAACAGGTTTAGAGTCTGGCGACAAATCAAATATTAAAGCAGACAAGAAAAATGTACCAGACATTAAAGAGCAATATGCTAAATCGGTACACCTATATGCTAAAATTGATGAGTTGAATACTAAGACAACAATGGCATACAATTTAGGGTTTGCTAGCACACCATTCAGATCTTGTGAATCTACAGTAATTGAAACTTGTAAAGATATTGAAGATCTCGTAAGATACCAATGTTCTGGAGATATACTACCACTAAGAAAACTTTGTAATGGCGTCATTGATTGTATAGATAGGTCGGATGAAGAAAACTGTTTAGATCAAGGTGTTTTAAAATATATTTACCTTGCTTTTTAATATCTTACCTACCATTATAAAATAATAACTGAATAAATTATTTTTTAGCTATGGAAAGAATGGGCAAATCTACGCAAATAATGTCACGTCTTGAAAGTTATATAACGAAGAAATGTTTTCTGTCCAGTGATAACACAGTGCTGGTTAGACAAAAAGAGATTTTGGATGAAGTTTTAAGTAAGCAGCGAAAATTTTTAGAAAAATATACTGGTATTAATTCAAATGAGCAATTAAGTAACAATAAAGACATTAAAGTAACTACAAACGAAGTAGCAGCAGTAATAGAAACTTTAGCTATTGCTTTGAAAAGTTCGTTGTGTATGTATGAAATTCCTGACAGAAACAAAATGGATATTCGTAAAGATTTGACATTGCTCGATGAAGATGTGATTGAGTTAAAAATACCTCTGGAGAAATGTAATTGTAATAAATCATTTTGTACTAACGAAGTTTGCTCTGAATCTTGTAAATTAATATGCTGGTATAAATATACTTTGGTCAGGTGGCGCTGTCATGCAGTAGATGAAAGTACGAGCGTACCGTTAAATAGTATATGCGATGGCAAATTTGACTGCAACGATGAAAGCGATGAAATTAGCTGTAATACTGGTATGCATACTAAGAATAATCTTACGACAAATCTTACTGAGGTAGGTAATTTGGTAACCACATTAATTCATTACTGACGATTATTGAAATATTTGCAGGTGCTAGAATAAATAAGTTCGAAGCGAATGAAATGTATGGCAAAGTGCTGAAGTTGATAGAAAACAGAAGCAGGTCTAAAGAATATGCATATGTGTATGGTAAAATGACGTTGTTTTACAACGATGTAAAACTACTGCAGAAAACAACGCTTAAAAATAACGTAGACAATTTAAGTATTAGAAATGTTAGAGACAAATGTTTTAACTCGTTACTTTCAATATATGAGGACGTTCTGAGAAGGGCTACTTTTGTGGGAGATTTGGATGAGACCCATTTGTTTTTGCAGTTAGTTAATGAAAAACTTGTGACGGCTCTGAAACGTTCGCATGTTGGCAACAAGAAAATTGTGGCTCGAGATGGATGCTTATGCAGACAAACACAATGTATAGTAGAAAATTGTCCAACAAATTGTCAAAATGCATGCAAAGTTCGTCAAAAGTTAACCCAATATTGGTGTAAAGGCACTACCACTAACATGACTGTACCTATTGAATTTATTTGCAATAAAATAAAAGATTGTCCAAACGAAGACGATGAAGCCGAATGCCAGGAAGGTAAGGTTAACTATAGGTAAAGAAATGGGACTACCTTGCAGTTAATAAAAACTTAAAAAGACTTGATCGTCGAAGTGCTTTCGCTTGGATAGCTAACATGGTTAAAAGTGCTGGTTCGTGATAAGCAAGGTACACATATAAAATTTCACCGAAATCGGTCACAGGATTAACAATCAAAAATATTTTTTTATAATCCTACTAATCATACTAAGTGTTAAGAGTTGTCCACCCATAACATTTTATTTTTATTTTTTGACAATTTTTATTTTTTTTATGATATGGTATTAAAAAATACATATAACCCTAAATTTTCACCCTTCTTCCACCAGCCCCTATTTTTATGGCGGTATGAAGTTCGCTGGGTCAGGTAGTATTATATATGTGAAAGTTTGTACTTTTGTTACTCAATCCCACAAAAAACTACTGAAAGGATTTCGATGAAATTTGGTACGCATACAGTTTATGATCTGGATTCCTGAGGGATTTTCAAAAAACTAAAGTTAACGAGGAATTTCCACCTAAAGCTAAATCTTCGAGTAGGTAAATAAGAAAAAATACTGGTAAATAATGGAATGTCGCAGATATAGAACAAATAGCTGGTAGTCCAATATACAGGCCATTAATGTATGTATTCTAAAATATTCCTACAATTACAGAGGTTTGCAGAAAACATCATTTGTTAGTATTACGAGAAACTCTTAAGAATATTGGCAAGGAGAACAAACTGACTTCCATAGGTGAGACTCTCAAAGACTGGAGCGCAAAGGTGAGAAGTAATAAATATTACAGAAATTTACTATTTATACGCCTAGATAGAGCAATCCAAATAAATCACGCAAAGAAAACGGCTCATGTTACGCGCAATGTGTGCGACTTTAATGTCAGATTGCTTGATAGCAGTCACAATGTGTGTGTGTGTGTATGTGTGTGTAGCGACGAGCATATCTAGTAAACCATATGTAGTAGATATTTTTTTCGCCGCTTCCTTGCAGTTACGTTGCTTTGTTACTTAGTTACTTTGCTTTAGTTACTTATTGTTTTTCTGACGAGTGAGTAGGATTTTCAAGGCTCTGCGTGACAGTTAAATACGGTTAAAAACGCACAAGTGATATTGTAGTATCACAAGGTTCTATGGACCACGAGGTATTTACTATCAGGTTTTTTGAAGTGAAAACTTCTTTAGCGTCATTTATGACATTTTGTTTTTTTTTGACTTTTCATTAATTTATTTGATGGAAATTAATGAATTTTAAATTACGTAATTCAGTAACATATTTTTCTTGTGACATAATTAATCTGTTGACCTTAACGTACATATCTTTATATATATAATTCTTCTGTGAGTGTGTATGTCACTGAACTTCTCTTAAACGACTGGACCGATTTTGATGAAATTTTTTGTGTGTGTTCAAGGGGATCTGAGAATGGTTTAGATTCACAATTTTGTCCGCTGGACAACCCCTATTTTTTAGGGCGGTACGAAGTTCGCTGGGTCAGCTAGTATTATTATATTACATTAAATAACTACTGTTATGAATTGATTTAGATTCAATAAATAATTAAATGTATTTTAGCGACTTGTACCTATTTCTATAAGTTTATTATGAGTTATGTTATGAATTAATAAATGAATTTTATTTTATTTTATTTATTTATTTTATTTAGCGGCGTTGTACTTTTGTATGGGTAAAAAATGTTAAACTCGCGTCAGTTACTCATACTACGACTCTTACTCGCACTGCCGCAGCATCTTTCCCCTCGCCTGGCATGGACTTGTGCTAGCCAGAACCGCCTGGCATTCTACATACTTACTTTAAATCGCTTAAACAAACACATATATAAATTACAACCTTACAGAAAGAAGTTTATTTTTATGTGTATATTACACACCTTCCGGTTCGTCTGGCGGGTACTTGTGCTCATCGTAAACGCCTGGCATTTTTTTTAACTTAAAAATTAATAAACAATTGTATCAAAATTTCAAGCTTACAGCAACATTTTTTTTTAATATTTTTTTGACACTTTCAAAAATATACGGCTTGATGACGTGCAGGGCTGAGGAGTGCCAGACGATGCTTACCGTTCTAAGCATGCTATGACTCATCACCATAAGAATTTCTAGCCTTACAGACAGACCGTTACTCGGAGGGTTCAGTGGCTCTCCTACCTGTACCATCAAACGATACAATGAAGACTAGTGTAGATGACAGGTCAAGAAGTGGTCGCCCTCGGTCTG